TGGACCCTATTTTGAAATTGGAATATTTTGAACTTTGTGTTAAATTGACCAAATTAACAATTTCCGATCACTTTATTTTGTAGTTGAAACAGTTGACTTGGCGATTTCTTGTGCTCAATCGATAGAATAGAAGTAATACTAATGAAATAGCTAAGAATTTGGTTGATTGGAATAATGTAATTGGCCTAAAATGGGAGTCAAAGTCGGCAAAATCGCCGATTCGTAAATATCGCTGACACATCAAAATTCGCGAGAGCATAATTTCGTCAATTTTCCACCAAATTTCGTACTTTTTGTTTTATTACCTTCACAAAAAGATTCTCTACGATTTCATAAGAAAAAATAACAAATTTTTTTTTTGAAAATTCTTGGACACTGGTGCGTGACTCCAGATTTGGGCCTTGGACCCTGAAAGGGTTAAAGGTAAGTGTCAATTATTCTATTGTTATTTTTGTTATTGTAATTATTCTATTGCATTAAACTTAATATTTCATGTGGTAAAAGTTTTTTTTTTCATACTTTTGGGTGTCTTGCATGGATTAATTTGATTTCCATTATTTCTTATGGGGAATATTGATTCGCTTCCCGATAATTTTGGTTTACGATGAGCTCTCAGGAACGGATTAATATCGTGAACCGGGGGTCCACTGTACTCAGTGAACTTATTCCTCTATAATTTTTACAATCTCTTTTGTCCCCCTTCCCTTTATATAAAGGGACTATACACACTCTCTGCCAATCCCAAGGTACCTTCCCCTCTTTCATACATTTATTAAACAAAAATACCAACCACTCCAACACCATGTCCCCCCCCTGCTTTTAACATTTCTGTCATGATCCCGTCAGTTCCAGCTGCTTTACCCCCTTTCATTCTACGTAATGCCTCACACACCTCCCCCACACTCACATCCTGCTCTTCTTCACTCCTAAAAGATGATATACCTCCCTAGCCAGTGCATGAAATTACCGCCTCCCTTTCTTCGTCGACATTTAAAAGTTCCTCAAAATATTCTCGCCATCTACCCAAAACCTCCATCTCCCCATCTACTATCTCCCCTTCTCTGTTTTTAACTGCAACTTATATCGCCCCAAAATGTGTCGCTCCATGAAAGAAAATGCTTCAACGCATACTGCCAGGCACATCATCTAAAGGGGACAAGAAGACACAGACCAGCCAGACCATGGGAAACAAAAGAGGGGAGCCATAACCTCTCCAGAGACAGAGGTTTTTTAGTGCCAGGAAAGAAGAAAAGACTAGCAACATATGACAGCAATCTTACACCAACTGAAAACACTTCTGGAACAGAGGCACAGTCATTGGCCTCCACTTCTGAACTACTGATATTAGAGCCAGCAAATAAAACTCCCCTGAATTCCACCAGTATAATGATATTTATCTTTGCAAACATACAGGGTCTAAAGCCATCAAAAAAAAACAAAATTCCTTACATCAAGGGACTGCTCATGGAGTCAAATGAGAGGCCCACATAAAGGATCATTATAACCTATTCTGATGCAACAGATTTAAACAGGCAACAAGGGGGGGGGGGGGGAGTTGGCCTTTATGTCACAGAGTCGCTCATTTGCTCAGAACTACTAAACACCTCAAATGATGTAGTTGAAGTTTTGGCAGTAAAGACTGAAAACCAAAACCTTTTCATTGTAGTTGTATACAAGCCTCCAGATGCAACTTTCCAGCAATTCCAGAAGCAGCTTGAGAAAACTGACCACTGTTTGGAAAATCTCCCAACTCCTGCCTCAAACATCTTGCTACTGGGAGATTTCAACTTGAGACACCTGAAATGGAGTGTAGCAAATAATATTTTAGCAGAGATCACCCCAGGAGGCAGCTCAGATGAAAATTCACACACACACAAGCTATTAAATCTCTGCACCAAATTCACCATAAACCAGCAAATATTAGAGCCTACAAGACTAGAAAATACGCAGGATCTCATCTTCACTAACAATAACGATCTGATATGTAATATAACCATACCAAAGACAATACACTCAGATCACAACATAATAGAGGCACAGACATGTATGCACAGGGCTCGTGATCAGCAAAATGTGATCAGTCATGAGGGTGTCTTCACAAAATTCAATTTCAGTAACAAAAACATACAGTGAGAACAAGTCATCCATGTACTAAATGAAACAAGCTGGGAAGATATCCTAAACAACATGGATCCAAACATTTGACTAGAAACAATTAACTCTGTGGTTCTTGAGATCTGCTCAAGGCACATTCTATTAAGAAAAAGAAAGAGAAGATGTAAACTAAAAAGAGAGACGCTCGCTATACAGACGAAGGCAAGGAGTCACAGAGCTGCTGAGAGGGGCCAATATATCTGAAATACAAAGGGAGGCACTGGTCAATGAAATTACAATAAGCTGAAGGAATCTTACAGGAGGCAAGAATCACAGGAAGAACTTAAAGTTATAAAGGAAATTGAAAAGAAAAATACTTCTTCCCTTATGTCAGATCTAAGGGAAAAACAACAATCAGTATTGGGCCCCTGCTTAAGCGAGATGGGACATACACAGATGACAGCCAAGAAATGAGTGAGATACTAAAGTCCCAATACGACTCAGTATACAGCGAGCCGCTACCTAGACTAAGGGTCAACAATCCAAATGAATTATTTATGAACAAAACCCAAAATCTGGTCTTCTCAAAAATCTCGGATATTATCCTAACACCACAAGATTTTGAAAGGCAATAAATGACATGCCCATGCACTCTACCCAAGGCCCAGAATCATGGAACTTCGTGTTCATGAAGAACAGCAAGAAGTCCCTGTTGTGTGCCTTCAACATTCTATGGAGTGGAAGCATGGACACAAGTCATCCCACACTCGCTAAAAACGACAGACATAGCCCCACTTTACAAAGGTCGAAGTAAAGCAATTGCAAAGAACTGCAGAAAGATAACACTAGCATCCCATATCATAAAAATCTTTGAGAGGGTTATAAGAAGCAAGTTCGCCAACCCATCAATTACACAACCCAGGGCTTCGAGAAGGTTGCTCCAGCCTGTCCCAGCTACTGGATCACTATGACAAGGTCTTGGATGCTGTAGAGGATAAACAAAATACAGATATAGTATACACAGACTTTGCAAAAACTTTTGACAATTGGGACCACAGTGTAATAGCACACAAAATGTGTGATATAGGAATTACAGGAAAAGTTGATAGATGGATCTATAACTTCCTGACAAATAGAACACAAAGAGTAATAGTGAACAGAGTAAAGTCTGAGGTGGCTATGGTGAAAAGCTCTGTTCCACAAGGCACAGTACTCGCTCCCATTTTATTCCTCATTCTCATATCTGACATAGACGGAGATGTTTACCTGGAGAGAGTTCCGAGGGTCAACGCCCCCGCGGCCCGGTCTGTGACCAGGCCTCCTTGTGTAAGCCACAGCTCCGTGTCTTCCTTTGTGGATGACACCTGGATTGCCATGACAGTGACCTCCATCGAAGACACTGCAAGACTCCAAGCAGCATCACCCAAATTTTTTTCCAAATGGACCAAAACTATGCAGCAAATAACAAATTTAACGGGGGTAAAAATGGGAAAACTGAAAATTAAAATTGTTCCGGTATACACATATTCAAACTATACAATGAAGCGAAAAATATGTGAAGGCCCGGGAAGGAAAATTCGAGGATCCCCTTAAAAAGGCCACAACAATTATCTACTGCATTCTTGGGAAAATGATAGGATGTAAATGAGAACCTCAAAACAGGGACACCACCCATGATTCTCTTAAAATTTGCTTGTTCTCTCTAACGGGAATTCTGCTGTACCTAACGCCCCCTTTAAAGGCGGCAAATTGCTGACCGGGACAGTGTACAAAGAACTTCACGGCACATAATACAATAGGGACCAAAATTACGGGGAAGGGTTTAAAGGCCCTTGATTTTATTTCCTGGGAAAGCAGGGGAGAGAGATACATTTTAATATACACTTGGAAAAACTTTTGAAGGATTATACCAAATTGCACACAAAAAAAACACTCCCTATAAAGCAAAAGACCAGCAGGAGATTTTTTTTCAACATCCCCAATGAAAAGCAGGGGAGCCACGAGTACACTGAGAGAAAACACAATAAGTGTCCAGGGCCCAAGATTGTTCAACTGCCTCGCAACATACATAAGGGGAATTACCAATAAACCCCTGGCTGTCTTCAAGAAGGCACTGGACAGGCACCTAAAGTCAGTACCTGACCAGCCGGGCTGTGGTTCATACATTGGATTGCGTGCAGCCAGCAGTAACAGCCTGGCTGATCAGACCCTGATCCACAACGAAGCCTGGTCTCAGACCGGGCCGTGGGGGTGTTGACCCTCGACACCCTATACATTTTGTGTTCTATTTGTTAGGAAATTATAGATTCATCTACCAACTTTTCCTGTTATTCCTTTATCACGCATTTTGTGTGCTCTTACACAGTGTTCGCACTTGTCGAAGGCTTTCGCAAAGTCTGTGTATACTGTTTCATTTTGTTTATCCTCTACAGACCAGTGTGGTACACTAACCTTTGAGGTACACTGAACTGTGTAGTACACTGACCTGTGTGGTACATGTCCTGTATGGTACACTGTCCCGTGTGGTACACTGACTGGTGAGGTATACTGACCTGTGTGATACACTGACCTGTGTGATACATTAGCTTGAGCGGTAAACTGACCTGTGGTACACTAACCTGTTAGGTACACTGACTTGTGAAGTACATTGACCTGTGTGGTACACTGACCTGTGATGTACACTGGTACACTGACTTGTGAGGTACATTAACCTGCATGGTACACTGTGTGATACACTGACCTGTGTGATATACTGACCTGTATGATACACTGACTTGAGGTACACTGACCTGTGTTACACTAACCTGTGTGGCACACTGACCTGTGAGGTACACTGATCAGTTTGGTGCACTGACCTGGGTGGTACACTAACCTGTTAGGTACACTGATCAGTGTGGTACACTAACCTGTGTGGGGCAGTAGTGCATACTGGAAGGTGTGGTGATGCATATCAGCAGTGTCATCTGGAGCTTTAGGAGAGCGCAGGAGGGAGAGTGCCAGTGTGTGTCCTCTGGCCATCCAGCCGTACTTGCTGTTGTTGAGTACCGCCAGACCCCAGTCGTACTCTGACAAGTCCGCCCACCTAGATACATATAAATAATTATTGTATTTTCTGCAGAGAGGGAATCATTTGTTATTTCAAGCAATGTGTATAGCTTTATTAAAGTTGTTTTGAGTGGGAATTTTTAATATTTAATAACCAAGCAGGTGTCCCATAGCTTGGTAGGTAGCGCATTCAGGTCACACGTTGATCTCCATAGTTCGATCCCGGGTAAGGGTTGAAACTTTAGGGTGTGTTTCCTTAAGACACCTGTTGTCCCTGTTCACCTATCAATAAGTTGGTACCTGGGTGTTGGCCGTCTGGAGTGGGTTGCATCCTGGGAACAAAACCTAAATTGTCCGAAATGCCCTGCATAACCAGGGGCTTTCTATATAGTATGTCATGTGCCATGATTTTGTTGAAAGTCTCTGGATCTAAAGATCTGCAGCAGAGAGTTTTTCCTGTTTGGGAAACTCGCTTCTGAAGATACGAGCTAACTTTTATTCTGTGAAGACGTGCTAGTTAGACTCGGTGTTGTTGCAAATATAGTGTTTAGGATATCTTTCCTGACTTTCAGCCAGCTGTGTCATCAGTGAAGGCAGAACTGCAGGAAGTTAGGAAGAAGATTCAGCTTCTTAGAGAAGAGAACAGGAAGATTCTTCCCTGGAAGAAGGAAGAGAGTACCAACAGCATTGAACCATACCACGGGTGGGGTTTGATCCCGCGGTCAGAAAGTGTGTAAGTGGGATACAAGCTGAAGGTGAGTCAGACTGGAGAAAGTACCGTCCAGACTACCAGTATCGAATGTTCCAGAATAAAACTTTTTGTAAAAGACACGTGAATACCAGGCAGAAGATGCTTTTTTCCTGGGCCAAGACAATAATATCTTTATATCTACAAGTACATGTACAAGGTATACAGACCATAGCTGACATCAAATGACATACTACTATATAGAAAGTCCCTTGTTATGCTGAGCATTTCAGGAAAATTAGGTCAGTTTTGTCCCAGGATGCAGCCCACACCAGTCTACTAACATCCAGGTACCCATATAACTGATGGGTGAACATAGACAACAGGTGTAAGGAAACATGCCCAATGTTTCAACCCTCGCCTTGAATCGAACCCGGACACTCACCATGTGAAGTGAATGCTTTTGCCACCAGGCCACAGTGAAAAAAATAGCAGACTAGGGGAACATAATTTGTAAGTAAAGCAATTAGGGAACATAAGGACTTTCAATTAAAGCAATTAGGGAACATAATGGCTTTTAATTAAAACAAGTTTCACATCTAGTGCGCTTCCGCCCTCGGGGAAATAATGTTGGGAAGCACTGAAGAGAGGACATTTATTTTATCTGATATAGGAAACCAATAGATATAAAGAGATATCACCAAGTGGTTGACATATTTTTTCCCATTCTTTCTCTTTCTTCTTGTTATTCTTTCATTCTTAACACGAGAATGTCTCATCTGATTGTGTTCAGATTCTCACTGGAGATGGTAGCCAGGGCAAGATTCTCTGAACATTTGTCATGTGTAGTTGCAACACCTGTCATGTGCAGGTACAACACCTGTCATGTGCAAGTACAACACTTGTCATGTGCAGGTACACCTGTCATGTGCAGGTGCAACACCTGTCATGTGCAAGTACAACACTTGTCTTGTGCAGGTACAACAATTGTCATGTGTAGGTGCAACACCTGGAGAGGGTTTTGGGGGTCAACGCCCCCGCGGCCCGGTCTGAGACCAGGCCTCATGGTGGATCAGGGTCTGATCAACCAGGCAGTTACTGCTGGCTGCATGCAAGCTGATGCACAAAACACATCCCAGTTGGTTAGGTACTGACTTTAGGTGCCTGTCCAGTGCCTTCTTGAAGACAGCCAGGGGTCTATTTGTAATCCCCCTTATGTATGCTGGGAGGCAATTGAACAGTCTTGGGCCCCGAACACATTGTGTTGTCTCAGTGTACTCGTGGCGCTGCTGCTTTTCATCGGGGGAATGCTGCATCTCCTGCTGAGTCTTTTTCTTTCACAGGGAGTCATTTTCGTGTGCAGGTTTGGTACCAGTCCCTCCAGGACCTTCCAAGTGTATATTATCATGTATCTCTCTCGCCTGCATTCCATTCAAGGACCTTCAACCGTTCCCAGTAATTTAGGTGCCTTGTGGTACTTATGTGTGCCATGAAGGTTCTTTGTACACTCTCTAGGTCAGCAATGTTGCCAACCTTGAAGGGGGCCGTTAATGTACAGCAGTATTCCAGCCTAGAGAGCACAAGAGATTTGAAGAGAATCATCATGGGCTTGGCATCCCTTGTTTTGAATGTTCTCATTATCCATCCCATCATTTTCCTAGCAATGAGATAGATACATTGTTGTGGTCTTTGAAGGCGAGGTCCTCTGACATTATCACTACCAGGTCCTTCACATTACTTTTCCACTCTATTGTATGGTTAGAATTTGTGGTATACCCTGACACATTTTTAATTTCAAGTTTCCCACATCTGAGTAGTTGAAATTTCTCCTCGTTGAACTTCATATTGTTTTGAGTGGCCCATTTGAAGATTTGGTTGATGTCCGTTTGGAGTCTCGCGGTGTCTTCAATGGAAATCAATGCCATGGTAATCCAGGTGTCATCCACAAAGGAAGACATGGAGCTATGGCGTACATCTCTGTTTGTTAGAAATGAGGATGAGGAATAGAATGGGAGCGAGTACTGTGCCTTGTGGAACAGAGCTTTTTACCGTGGCTGCCTGGAACTTTACTCTGTTTACTATTACTCTTTGTGTTCTATTTGTCAGGAAGTTATAGATCCATCTACCAACTTTCCCTGTTATTCCTTTATCATGTATTTTGTGTGCTGTTACACCATGGTCACACTTGTCAAAAGCTTTTGCAAAGTCTGTGTATACAGTGTGTGGTAAACCTGTTGTTAGCAGCGGTCACTACATGCACAACGAAAATCATTATTCCTCCAGTAATCTCTGTGTATTGAAGCCATCAGCACCCAAACACGCAAGTTATACTTTCTGTATCAAACTGTACACATATTACTGTTTAGTTTTTTTCCAGTAGTCCTTTTATGAGCTAGTCCAAAATCACCCAGTGAGCCTAATCCAGATCTGCCTGGATTCATCCAACGTCCGGATTCAAACGGATTCATTGATAACAATGTACCCTTCTGACTGGTTTCATTAACTGACGGGGCTCAACGCACCCTATCAAACACTCAAACAGTAACTACAACATATAGTTACAATGAAGACAGACAGATCTACTGTTAAGGTGCTTATTAGAAAAAAGATATACAGTGATCCACTAACTGGATTCTTCCAGTATCGCTGGATTTGGGAGGATTCAAACAGATTCACTGGATTCGGGCGGATTCAAATGCTTTCGTTGGAAATAAAGCCAAATCGGAAGAACTGTTAAAAAAAAAATGAAATACATCGGGGAATTACAGACTAGATAGCTAGGAGAGTTGACAAGTATTGTAAGATGACCACTACCATGAAGATCTGTGTAGTCTGCAGAAAGGGTGAGGGATGAAGACAGGCCTGGATTGCTTGCCATCTGTGTGGTCAGTGGTCCCATTGTATATGCAGGGATTTTAAACTAGTGACCACACTTGACATAAACTCAGAGAGATGTTTTTGGGCCTGTCCAAACGAGATACACCTGTATGAGGAAATGACAACTAATTAAAAGTCAAGAACACCAATAAAACATCCTTTTTGAAAGACATGTCAGCAAGGTATGACAGATGGGGAAAAAAAGATGGGTGATAGGGATGGGGCTGTTTTGGTCAGTGCCCCTTAAGGGGGTAGTGCTGTCCTGGAGAAAAGTGCTACTGAGGGTGCTAATGCTGTCCTGGAGGACAGTGCTGAGGGTGCTAGTGTTGTCCTGGAGAAAAGTGCTACTGAGGGTGCTAATGCTGTCCTGGAGGACAGTGCTGAGGGTGCTAGTGCTGTCCTGGAGGACAGTGCTGAGGGTGCTAGTGTTGTCCTGGAGAAAAGTGCTACTGAGGGTGCTAATGCTGTCCTGGAGGACAGTACTGAGGGTGCTAATGCTGTCCTGGAGGGCAGTGCTGAGGGTGCAAGTGCTGTCCTGGAGGAAAGTGCTCCAGAGGGTCCTAGTGATGTCTTAGAAGATAGGGCTCATAAGGGTACTAGTGTTGTCCTGGAGGTCACTGAGGACAACCTTATTCAGTCCACAGAGGTTCAAAATAGAGACACTGCTGGAGATGGACCAAAATGGGATGAGGCCTCAGGGAATATTGTTGACACACTACCAGTAAAACCTGGTGGAAGCACTGATGTCCATACAGGGGTAAAATATATTGAGGAAACAGGAAAAATAAATGCACCAGCAGTGAACACAGCTACAATAAATCCTAGCAAACAGAAGTACAATCTATGTAAATGCCTTGGGTATCTGCAGGCACAGTATATCTGGTAAAACAGGTGGGACATGCACCTTTGATCATCCCAAAAAATGCCGCACCCACAAGACAACAGGAGAGTGCAACTTCCCTTCTTGCAGCTTATTTCACCTAGTAATGTGTCACTCATCAATCCATGAAAGAAAATGCTACAACACATACTGCCAGGCACATCATCTAAAGGGGACTAGAAGACACAAACCAGCCAGACTATGGGAAACAAAAGAAGGGAGCCACAACCTCTCCATGGACAGAGGTTTTTTTCAGGGCCAGAAGGAAAAAAGACTGGCAAGAAATGACAATAATCCTACACCACCTGAAAACACTTCTGGAGCAGAGGCACGGACATTGGCCTCTACCCCAGAGCAACAGATATTAGAGCCACCAATATGACATTTGTCTTTGCAAACATACAGTATCTAAAGCCATCAAAACACAACAAAATTCCTTACAACAAGAAACTCCTCACAGAGTCAAATGCAATGTTTGCAGCATTTACAGAGACCCACATAAAGGAGGAGCATTATGACAATGAAATATGGATCCCAGGTTATAACCTATTTTGATGTGACAGACTAAACAGGCAACAAGGGGGGGGGGGGG